TAAGTAATATCTTTATAATTTTATAAAAAGTATTAAAAAATTTAAATTAAATTTTCAGAATTTCAATGCTATCAAGAGCTAATAAAAAATTCAAAATCAAATAAAATAACTTTAACAATCTCAATTAAAAATATTAAAAAATTGAAAATAAATTTTTAACGCATCATATTCACTAAAGACACTTAAAAATTCATTATAAAATTATTATCAGATGTATTTAAACAATGCAAAATAAATTATTATTATTTAATCTTTACTGCAAAATAGATTCTAGTATTAATAATTAAAAGCAAAGATCAAAATACTTTTATAAAATATTTTTTTTTATTTTTCTAAAAAATAAGTATTTAAATTATATGATTTCTTAATTTAATAATCTATTTAACATGTTAATAACGTTATTTTATCTATTGATTATCTATAAATAAAAATTCAATTTATGCAAGTTGTATTGGAACCACTTCAGAAAAAATAATATATGCAAGTCTAACTTTTTATAAGATTTTTAATAACATCTTACATACTAAAAATATAGGTCAAATTAAATTCTACTTCATTTTCTTGAATTCTATACAAAGTATCATTACAACACTTGAAAGTTATTTAAACAAATATCATTAATTAAAAATATTTTAATCAATTACAACTTAGCTTCAACTATTAGCAAGAAATATATTTTTATATATTTTTGAAATATAGCATGTACAAAAAAGAAAGTTGATATTTCGAATTCATCACTATCGCATTTAAAAAGCAATTGTCTCATTCAATCAATAATTGTTTTATCTTATCAATTTATATTCTAAACTCTATCCCTGAACAGTTGTATTCTTAACGTGCATAAAAAGATTATTGATATTTTGAACTCATTACACAACAATTTCCTTTTAACTCTTCGCTATCAAGTTTAGAAAGCAGTTTAACGACATTGCTCCACTTGTGAACTGTACCGGCTAGGTTTAAATGTCGGCTTTATAGACCAAGAATACGATTCAGTAAATTATTGCGAATCTTACTTTTCGCCATTCGTGTTAAAATTTCGTGGCTATATATATATATAATATGCTAGGAAAGTTTAAGAAGGGAGAGCGCAATTCTTTACGACTTTTTATGAACAGAGTTAGATACTTAAGCCCCTCGTCTTTTCGAGGTTAAAAAGATTTCAATAAAAACGGGAAACAGGCTAAGGACTTTTTCTCTGATCGGATAAAGTCGTCCACATCGTTTACTCGAATCCTGGCATATGCTTTCTTAAAAACGAGTTTCCAAGTAAGGAAATTTTTATGGACGCAAGCCAAATGGAATGCTCGCACGGCAAAATGTTTGAAATCGAGTTTGTTCTTGTATAAGCGTGTAGCTTGTTAGAATTAAAAAAATCTTAATGCGAAAGATTTCTCAAAAGAAATTTTCGAGCGAAGAATGGAGTTGAAGTAGAATATCTGAATGATCAGAGAAAATATTGCTTCGTTAATTTTTATTATTTTGTAAACAGAAAAGAGATATTTATGCATTTATGCAAATTTGAATGTAAAAATAGAATATATAATATGTATTACGATATTTAAGGAATGAAATAAATATTTTTATGAATGAAATCAATTTTTATATTTTGCAATATGATTTTGCAAAATCTTTAATTTATTTGTGAAAGAATTCTTGAAAAATATTTTATTTTTCTGGTGATTTTTTCAAATATATAATTTATTAAAATTTATTCTATTTCTATTATTACAAAATATTTCTAAACGAGCTTAAAATATATTATAATAAAAAAAATGTTCAAAAATATTGTTTGTATTTAAATTAACCAAATTACTATAAAAAATTAATAGTCATTCACTACAAAAATATAACAGATATACATTAATTAGTAAATATTATTTTGAAAATTATCTGCAATTTGAACTCACAATATTTTACTTAAAATAACTTTTATCTTTCCAAATAAAATTGTTTAAAATAATAACAACCAATTTTTGATTAAATTGCAATTCAAAATCCAACATATATTAAATTCAATGAGTATTCCTCGATCGATCGAAGAATCTTGAATTACGAAAGAAGCTTGAAAAGGAACAATAGGTGAGACGATGCATTTGAACTAAATAAGAACGACAAAAAGGGAAAGAAATTCTAGGGGACGAGAGATGAAACGAAAGTAATTCTTCAGGCTGTTCGTCAACTCGTATTGAGCCGGGTGTTGAGCGACCCTATCGAATGAAATACGTACATAAAACGAAGGTGACATGGTGGAAAGGTCGAGGAAAAGAAAAATACACTCTGCTCGAATCCAGTGCACGTAGCCCTGACAGAACCAAGCACAAAAGAAAATTGTGGCGATTTCGACGCGGATACAAAGATATTTCCAGTTATAAAGATTTCTCATTAAATTAGATTCTTAAAATATAAGCTCAATTACTAAGAACATTTTAACATTTAACATTACATTGTTAATGTAGATAACAATTAAAGTAAGAAAAATTCTCATAAAATTATGAAAATTATATTCTAAATATACAACATCACAGATGTAGTTTAATAGAAACGTTGAAATAATCATAATTAAATGAAATGAAAATGTTATTATAATAATATTATTTTATGAGTTATATCAATTTTTGACAAGTTTTAATTTTAATTATTTGTTTTTGTGAAATTATAAAGTTATTACAACTTCTGGAACAAAGCAATAAGAAACAAAATAAAGAAAATAATATTAATTATTCTAAAAAAGTGATTCAGTTAATGTTATTCAGTAACATTGTTTTAAAAAAATGGGCGATCTTGAGAAATTTCCATGAAATTATCGAAGAATCTTGAGAAATGAAACGTCACGAAAGAAAAAGATATTGTTGGAGGGAATATCTATGGAGTTTAAAGAAACTTTTTAGAAAAATTTCATGAAACGATATTTCTTCCGCTTGTTGAATCGTTAAAGATACGATATACATTTCTACGTGAAAACAAAGAAAAGAAGAAAATATTTAAAAAAAACGAATAAAGAGAGAAAGAAAGAGGAAAGAGATATTGTAATGTTCTGTGAAAGAAATTGTAATTTCTGTGAAGGAAATCTTATAAAATAATAATTGATGATTGACGAAAAATAAATTTAATTACTAATCGAAATATACATTAATATAACTTATTGCATATATTTCTTTATGTTATATAAAAATCATATTTATATCTATTCTTTAACTTTTATTAAAAATAAATTTTCTTTTATTATATATTTTTGAACCTAATTGTATCATTGAATTCTTAAACCTAGAAAAATTGCTATATTCAAATTATTTGCAAACTACGCGTATAATTACTTATTCGAAAGAAATTTATATAAATTTTATCAATATCACCAATAAGCATTACGATAAAATCCAAGTATGTGAAAATGAATGATATAAGAAAATAAGCATTCTGTCGGGATAATAAAAAGCTTTACCATTTACGGTTAATTTAATAAATAAACGAGAAACTCAAATTATTTACAGATTATCTTAAAAGTTACTATAATTTAATAACAGCAACGTAAAGCAGTAATAAAGTAGTATCCGAAGGAATTTATAATAAGATTTCAATCCATCGGGCAAAGAAAATTAATAAATATCCTAAGCACGAGAAGCAACGGTTTCATGCGGTATCAATAAGTTTCTGACAAAGCGTTCAACGAATCGCGAGTAATACCGCAAAGCCGAGTTGAACGTGACGGAGAGAGGGCTCGAGAGGGTGGCAGAAAGGAAAACTACTGTCCGAGTGGAAACGTGGCCAAGGTATGTGGCGAATCTCGAATAAGGAGAAAGGAAGAAAGTGGAAGGAACGAAGAGAGGATTTGTAGATCCGTCTACGAAAAGGAAATACAAGTCTAATCTTTTCCGACCGGCCAACAAGTCTGACCAAGACTGGCAACCATCGCTGCCACTATTGATTCTTCTTTATTCTCCTTTTCTCGTTCTTGAGAAGAATTGAATCTTCAATTCTTGCGATCCTTGTGAAGGTCTTTCTCTTTTCGCACTATAGTTACTTTTCTCTTCACCGTTCGTACATATTTTACGAAGAATCGTCTCGAAATGTTTATTTAATTCGAGAAATAGTAACAAATGCGTTGAATTTGTCTTGTTAAATTTTTTCTTTATCGATCTTATGATTCTATAGATATATAAAGAGTCATAAATTTGAAAGTTGTCTAAGTTCGAAGATTCAAAAAGTTAATAGTCAAAAGAATTTGAAATTCAAAGATTCGAAGACTTTAAGACTTTAAGACTCAAAACATTTAATTATTTAAGAATTGAAAGAATTGAAGATTGAAGAATTTAAAGATACAAGGATAGATCACTCAGAAATATTATTATAAATTGGCAGAAAGAAAATTAAATCTAATATTAATCAAGAGAAAGACGAGTGTTTATTAACAAAAATTACTAGATAAAATCCAAAGTATTATTTAATTTAAGAAATTGCGTTTGTTTCTCATAAACGATTTTGATTTATCAAATACATAAAACTTTTTATCACCAATCCAACTTAGTATTTATTTGGCAGCAATCGTGAGCTGCAACGTTTTCATAACAAAAGCATAAGCTCTTGAAATCCGACCTAGAGAATAAACTCTCAAGCCATGGCTCACTCATATGGCAAGATGAATCGTATATCAGAAACAATCCCCTTGTCGAGTGCACAAAGCAGTAAAACAACTATTCTATAATATTATGTAATATACAAATTTCAGGAAACTATGCTCTTAACCAGCATCTATTCCTTGAGAAGCTTTGGAAAACGTAAAGGAAAAGCTTTCGATTTTTAAATGGAACCGTTTCACTCAAAGACACAAAAGAGAAAATCATGATTGAAAAGAAATAGAGAGCTTTTAAATGAAAGAAAAAAAAATGTAGAATTATCATTTGCAGTATTTCATTTTTTTGAAATAACCGAGGCAAGAAACACGACATTAACGTTGATTAATTGACGCAGAAAAGAGGCGAATTGTGTTCATCTGTACTCACAAGTGGTCCTGCCGCTTGAACGCCTTGCCGCACATCGTGCACACGTATTTCCTCTCGTCACTGTGCGTCAGCTTGTGCTTCGTGAGCGCCGATGCGTTGTTGAACACCTTCCCGCAGACCTGCAGGCAGAAATCGTGAAATGTGTCAACGTGTCTTTGTATTGATGTTCCATCTCTGGCAGTCAGCTTAATTGATTATTTATGATCTCGAGGTTATGGCTCAAGGTTAGGCGAATTTATGTCACTACGGTAAAATTAACTGTTCGTATAACAAGGGAAATAAGTGGAAATAGAAATGTTACTAAGCACGGAAAATTATTAAATCAAAGAAAGCAGATATTTTACGTACATATATATATGATGATTGATGTTAGATGATAGCTCGAGATTGAAAATATACTTCGAAACAAAACGATTCACGATAAACACTTTATTATACGCAATAATATTTTATTACGCACGAGACAATGACATATTAGTTGCGCGTGACTTTTCGTTACTGCTCGCGCCATCCTGCGCCGAGAACACCCGAACAGACACGAAAGGATCCGAAGAGACTTCGGATTCGAACCATCTAACGCCCGCGATATTTGAAAGTATATAATAGTGATTGATTTAATTATTTCGAAAAATTTAAGTCTTTATCACAAAATTTCTTTAAGAGAAAATTTTGTTTGAAATAGAACTTAATCATATATTGTTTATTTTTTATTTTTTAAAGAAATATCAATATAGAATTATTCGATATTATATATTTTTATCGAAAAAATTGTAATTTCTTCAAGAATGAATATATTGAGATTTGAAAATGATAATTATATAAATTAATTTATATTTTCAATAACATTCACTACATATTTAAGTATAGAATATATTAAATAATATGGAAAATATTTTTTTAAGTATCAGATTAACATAAATAAGGATCAAACATATACACATATATCAATATTCTTCAAAATATAATATTCATTGAGATTTTTTTATTCCAGCAATGTTAAAAATTTAGCTATTTTTGATAAAATGATTTTTTAACTATTCAAAATCGTTGACAAATTGGCAAAATGTAATTTCAGCAAACCTATATTTGGCTATTAGCATTACGTGAAACACATTTTCAGAACCGTCTAACATTTGACACATGTTACTGCCAACCGTGCGAATGTGCTTGACGTAGACGGCACTGCTACATGCCCGCGTACACACATTTCCTAGTATCCATTAATGACTGCATTCCAAAAATACATCCAGCTTCCTGTGTTTTTTACGCTACAGAACAAATATGCACGGTGATGCTTCTATTATTTCTCCCTATTTCCACTGGCCACAGCTTTACTTGAATTTTTATAAAAATATTCGAATATGAAAAATGTAAAACAAATTTTAACAAAATTTAGAAAAAAATATATTTAAGACTTACGTTTTTAATATTATTAATATATTATTTAATTAATAGTTTGACAATTCAAATTTTATATCATAATTCATTGATAAAATAGAATATTTCGTTGAATTATAAAAGCATAATTTAATCCAAATATTATTTTCTATAAAATATAGACACAATTATCTATTCTTTCTTAAATTGATAAATTAGTTATTATAATGTTATTTAAAAAAGAAAAATTAAATCTCAATTGAATAAACGATCGATTATTAAACATTATAATATGCAATTTAATATTTTAGAATTAAATTTTCTCAAATATCATAATATTTTTAACTTTTCAAATAAAATTTTAAAAAATTTATTCAAAAAATAATGTAATTATGCTATCAAAATATTAAAAAGTAATATATATATATATTTAATAGATTAAAGTATCTTTGTATCTTTGTTCTTAAAAAATTTAATTATTTGTTCTCAAAATTTAATTATTCTCACTTAAGATATTAATGATATTTCACTAGAATGTTCTATAATCGAATCAATTAAATCTTAACGATTTAATCGATGAATCCAATCAAAACGGGTGAAAACTTGGTTCCAACGGAAATCAAGTAGCGATCGACGACGAAAGTGTAACGACTTCCAATCCGTGGTCTGTGCTTTCAATAATCGAGGCGCGTATCGCGCGAATGGTTCGCAATTCGCCGTCGCGTGTTTTGAACGGTTCATTACGAACACGTGAAACAGAACGAGGCTGGACACGATTTTCAATTACCACACGTAGCCATCGTAAAGCCAGGCCGGACGCGCTTTACGACAGACATTAGAACGACAATAAAGATATCATTGCCCCATTGTGAACGCCACGTTTCCACATTTTTGCTTACCATGTTTCAGAGTGATCTGCTTTTTTCTGAGACATTAATACAAAAAGTCTCTTCTTTTTTTTATTATTATTCATGATATTTTATTATATAATTTGTCAACGATAAGATTTGTTATTTATTTATTTACTTATTTTTTGATAAATTATTTTCAGATATATGATACTTAATAGATAAATAATTAGATTATTGTATCTTCTATTATATTCTTTTTTTGTTTAAGTTGATTATATATATTTGATGAATAAAAATATTTAATGAATAGAAAAAAAGAACAAATAGGTTATTTTTTGATAGAATATCAATTACATTATTGCACGATTCCTATAGATATTCTCAGATAATAAAATGGATTTTATGATTGGAATTGAGCAAGGATTGCTTTTTTTTTATGAATCCATCAGTTATAGGGAAGAATAAGGTCAAATATACATTATTTTTTGATGGATTAAGGATTTAAATATCCTTATGCATTATATTTTGATAACTGGCAAGAAAAGAAATAATATTCTTTATTGCCTTATAAATATTATCTATAAATATTCTCAAATATTATAATTATCCTCAATTACTTTCCAATTTAAATCATAAATTTTCACTAATAAAGTATAAATAAATAATATTATTACATTTAAACAAATTGGATTAAAGATTATTAAAAAAAGAAGCACATATTTGCACAAAAATATTAAAAAATAATTCTCTTGTATTTTCCATGTATATAATGCATATCCATATTGCTAAAATATAAATCTTAATTATAATTTTCTAATATATATTTTTCAATTTTCTCTGTGATTTTTATTCTCATTATTATTTCCATAATCTTAATCAAAACTTAGAGAATGTAAAACTATATATTTAAGATTTAAATTAATATTTAAGATTTAATCCTGCCAATACCTCTATCTAAAAAAATAAATTTTTCTTTGAAAAGAACCAGATCCAAATACAAGACAATACCGTATTCTACAAAATTCCTAATTAACGTGAGATGTTGGCATGGTATTTCACGTGTTAACAACAAGCAGCTCGAAGACATGGTCGAGGGTGTCAGACATGGTATGCCTGTTAAGTATGTGGAATTGAGTTTATTACTCGGGCAGGGGCGTGTACTATTTCACCAACTATTTCAGGAAGCTAAAGACCGAGAGCCTGTGCGCGCATGGACGCTGTTTCATTTGAAAGTCCCATGGGACGCGCAAGAACACCCGGAATTGGCATCGAATTTGCCTTCGTCGAATATCATGTGAAATTCCGTGGCTCAAATTTAGCGAGGAACGGACAACGTTTACTGAAATTCAGCTCATTCCTTTAACTTATTGTTGTGATTAGATGATTCTTGGTTTATAAAGAATCGAAAAAATATTGATGTATCTTTATCTTTATGAATTAAAATACATATATACATTATATATATATATTATTCAGCATATATTCATATTTATAAAAATTGTATAGTTTTTATATTCAAAAGTAATGAAAGGAATAATGAAAGAATCTGTATTATAAAAGATAGAAGATATAGACGTGAAGAAATATAAAATGAAAAACGAAAATGTTCATGAATGTACATCTAAATGAATGTGGAAAAATATTTATCTCAGCTTATATAGTGGAATATGCGAAATATGAATCTAAAAAGAAATTTGTATTAAATTTGTATAAATAAAAGTAATGTGTGTAATTATGTCATAATTATAGCTATTTCTAAAAGAACAACTTCACTATTTGTATAACATTTCATTTTGTAAAAATTTAATTTATTTTTAATATATCAAAGATTATTTTAAGTAAATTCTTTTTTATATATAAATAAATATTACTAGTATATTATATCATAATGTAAATAATATTTCCAACCTTTTAAAATGTAATAAAAATATAGAGAAAGCTAGAAAACAATTATATAATTCTTTTATTATAAAAATTTATCAATTTTAATATCAAATATAAAAAGTATACAATATGAAATATTTATTCTTAAATATTTATTCTTAGTCTGAATTTCTTCTATAAATTAATTATAAATTAATTTGGAAATTCACTTTTCGTTTTCGCTTTTATCCCAAATAGTAAAGTTTTCAAATTCACAATTTATTATCAAAATTGAATTTGAAGAACTTATCACATCTATCATTTTCTTCATTCAAACACCATTTCCAAATTACATTTCCATTCTCTTCACGATCACGAAATTTTATAAAATTACAGCGTGCAAACTCGACTTTCGGATCCGCCCATTTGCTCTCCCCTTCCTCCAGAAATCTACACGCATCAAAAGCTCATCGTAGCGCATCGAAAATCCACCGACATCCACCGCCCGGTATTCGCATCGTTAAGTCGAAATTAATTTCCAATGCAGCTGCGGCCAACACGTGGCGACGCGGCCCGGTTCCGCGATTCCCGGCTCCATTATCGGAAAACTTCTTTCCACTTTTCGTTTCGCCGTTATTTTCATCGGTTCGACTCGGCTCAATCGAGCCCCTCCGGCCTCCACGATGCGAATAAGTCGCGTACTCGAGACTCGTCCGCGGAAATTTCTCTCGCCTTCCAATCGAAACCAACTTTCCTCCCTCCCTCTCCCCTCCCCCGTCCCGGAAACTTCCGTTTTCCTAATGGAACGGAGAAGAAAGGATAAACCGTCGACTCAGCGATCATTGATACTTGAGCCGTGAAATTTACTGGATTCGCGGAACCAGCGTCGAACAACTCGAGGAAAGCTCGCAGAATTTCGATATTAAGAGGAAATATATATTTTGCGAACGGCTCGTGAATTTTTTTTTCTTTTTTTCTTTCTTCCTTTCTTTCTTTTTCTTCGCCGTCATTCATCATCCCAGGGATAT